ACAAGATATGGACACTACGAGTTCTTGGTTATGTCATTCGGACTAACCAATGCTCCCGCATCATTCATGGATTTGATGAATAGGGTTTGTAAACCATTCCTTTGATAAATCTGTGATAGTGTTCATCGACGACATTCTCATTTACTCGAAAAGCCAGGAGGAGCATGGCAAGCATCTACGATAAGTGTTGGAGGTGTTAAAGAAGGAGAAGCCCTTTTTCAAAGTTCTCCAAATGCGACTTTTGGATACGGGAAGTCCAATTCTTGGGTCATGTTGTTAACCAGGAGGGAATAATGGTTGACCCCGCCAAGATCGAGGCTGTAATGAAGTGGGAACGTCCGAAGAGTCCCACGGAGATTCGAAGCTTTCTAGGATTAGCCGGATATTACCGACGATTTATCCAAGGCTTTTCTTCGACAGCAGCTCCATTAACAGCTTTGACCCATAAAGGAGCTACGTATACATGGAGTGAGAAACACGATGAGGCATTCGAGAAGCTAAAAAAGAAGTTATGTGAAGCACCGATACTTTCTCTACCGATGGAGTCGAAGATTTCGCAGTTTATAGTGATGCATCTGGAGTCGGGTTGGGTTGTGTTCTGACCCAAAGAGAAAAGGTGATAGCATACGCATCTCGACAATTGAAAGAGCACGAAAAGAACTACCCCACTCATGATCTGGAGTTGGCAGCGGTAGTATTTGCCTTAAAGATATGGAGGCATTACCTCTACGGCACGAAGTGCAAGCTCTTCACTGATCATAAGAGCCTCCAATATCTCTTTAATCAGAAGGAGTTGAACATGAGGCAACGACGCTGGCTAGAACTTCTCAAGGACTACGACTGTGAGATACTTTACCACCCAGGTAAAGCAAATATTGTTGCTGATGCTCTCAGTCGGAAAGTCAATCTTGAAAGAAAAAGGCCAAGAGCGTTAAGAATTGAAGTCGTCTCGATGATTGTGGAAAGTATCAGGAAAGCTCAAGAAGAAGCCTTAGAAAAGAATGACCGAAAGGAAGAACGTTTGGGAAAAACGTTAGTGTTCGGTACGAACAGTCGAGGACTGAAGGTATTCCAAGATCGAATTTGGGTACCTAAGACGGGAGGAATAAGAGATCTTCTAATGGAAGAAGCACACAAGACCATGTACTGATTCATCCCGGTAGCACTAAAATGTATAGGGACCTAAAACCCTACTACTGGTGGCCGACGATGAAGCTCGATGTTGCGAAGTATGTGGCTGAGTGCGTAACATGTGCGAGGGTTAAGGCACAACATCAAAAACCGTATGGGAGTTTAGAACCCTTACCTGTACCCATGGGAAAATGGGAAGACATCACCATGGATTTTGTGACTAAACTGCCCAGAACGAAGAATGGTCACGACATGATTTGGGTAGTCGTGGATCGTTTCACCAAGAGTGCACACTTCATAGCAGCCAACGAGAAGTGGTCTATGGATAAGCTCGCAAATGCTTACATGAAGGAAATTGTAAGACTTCACGGTGTCCCTCTTACTATTGTGTCAGATCGTGATAGTCGTTTCACATCGAGGTTTTGGAGGAGTCTACAAGAGGAGTTGGGTACAAAGTTGTGTTTGAGTACTGCTTACCATCCGCAAACTGATGGTCAGAGTGAAAGAACGATTCAGACGTTGGAAGATATGCTGAGAGCATGTACCCTCGAATTCCAAGGGAATTGGGACGAGCACTTACCTCTGGTAGAATTTTCCTACAACAATAGTTTTCACTCGAGCATCAAGATGGCTCCTTATCAAGCCTTGTATGGGCAGAAGTGTCGTACGCCGTCTTGTTGGCTTGAAGCCGGAGAGAAGCAGTTTATGGGCCCCGAGATAGTCCATGAGACTGCTGAGAAATTGAAGGTGATTAGGGAAAGAATGTTAGCAGCTCAGGATCGTCAGAAGAGCTATGCCGACAAGAAAAGACGACCGATAACCTTCGAAGTTGGGGATTCCGTTTTACTTAAAGTCTCACCGTGGAAGGGACTTATACGATTTGGGAAACGAGGAAAGTTGAGTCCAAGGTTTATTGGACCATTCAAAGTTCTTCAGAGGATTGGGAACCAAGCTTACAAGCTGGAATTGCCCGAAGAACTCAATGGTATTCATAACACCTTCCATGTGTGTTATTTGAGGAAATTCATGGGAGATGTTCCCGACATAATTCCAATCTCGGAATTAAGGATGGATGAGAATAAAAGGCTGATCGAAGAGCCTGAGGCAATTATTGACCGTAAGACTAAGAAGTTACGACGCAAGATGGTCGACTTGGTGCTAGTCCGATGGAAACATTCGAATGGGCCGAATCTCACTTGGGAAACAGAGGATGACATGATGAGTCGCTATCCACATCTGTTTGCTGATGCATGATTCCGGGACGGAATCATCCTAAGGGGGTGAGAATTGTAACGCCCGGTTTTCAGGGCTAAGCATTTTTGTCAATGTAATAGTCTAGGTCAACTATTGTAACTCTTTTTGAAGTAATAAATATGAAATATTTGAGTATTATGTGAATTATGTGTGTTTATGTGTTTATTATTTAATTATAAATGTATAATTAATAAAGAATAAAAATGAGCGTCAAAATTAAAGTGTGAGATAATCCCGATATCTCTACATAAAGTTGTAGAATATGTCTCAAGGTTTCCGTACATATAAAGAATGCCGAAATCCGAGCTATAACGAAGAAGTTATGGCCCGCCGAAGTTTTACGGCAAAACCGGCACGACACCGGGAGACGTAAATAGTGAATTTACGATAGAAGACTTTTTAGCCTTAGCAATCTAAACAAAAGTCGTAGAATATGTTAAACTAAGAACATCGATAAAAAGAACGCCCAAATCTGACTTCGTATGAAGAAGTTATGATTTTTCTAAGATTCGGCTTAGCAGTGCACGGCCTGAAACTCGAATTTTAGTTCGAGCGGTTTTTGGCTTACGCAACGTAAATGAGAGTTGAAGATCTCATTAATAGGAAATCAACGGTAAAAAGACAGACAAAAACAGAGTCCGTATGTAGAAGTTATTAATTTTACGCAGACGTTTAACAGTATAATCTCCTTGTACTGTTAAATTTAAGATCGGTCGAGAATTAGCTGACGGTGTCAAATGAAAGTTGTAGATCTTATTATTACCTACGCGTGGATATAAAGAACGTCAAAAACGGAGGTCGTATGTGAAAGTTACGGATTTTAGAAGTCGGAAGTGTGCTGTGCGAAAATGGGTGATGTGGCACAATCTTGGCCATTGCTTTCTCCCCAAGGCTTGCCACCAGATGGTGACATGTGGCACCAAGTTCAGCCACATTTCACCCTATAAATACCACCTCTCCCACCCTCATTTTCTTCACACCTTTCCCATTCTTTCTTCTCTTTACTCTAGAACCTCTCTCTAGCCCCGAAATCCCCCGAAAAGCCTAGGGAACCTCCCTAGCATGAGGCGGAAGCCCCGGAGTGCTCGAAGGCTCTGAGAAGAAGAGCTTTTCAGCTCGGGAACGCTGCTCCAAGAAAAGCCCGGTTTTCTATAAAACCCGCTGTAAGTGAGCTACGCCTACGCTATTTTTAATATAACTTTTATTTAATTATAGTAACGTTATTAGGAACTTATAATAAATACTTGGGCTATTATTATGGGTTATATAAGTATTTTTTTGACGCTTATATAATAATAATAATAATAGCTAGACTATTAATTAGTCTCGACGAATAATAAACTAAACTCTAGTGGTAATAATACTAGGTTTCGTCGAAGAAAAAATTCTTTTTAAGAAGCGAAGCGCTGTCTGAGTTCGGAATCACCACCTTTTCCGGTGAGTGCATAGTTACTTTCAGCTTACACATAGATATGAAGTATTTTATATAAATTACGTGCTATGTGTGCATATTATCTGAATACTTGCTATCTACGTTAGATGAACGTTGTTATACATGTTTTCAATGATTTAAACTGTATATGTATTTTATATCTACGAAAATGTTGGGGTAAAACATGGGTAGATGTAATAGGTGATGTGTGATAAAATGATGAGAGGCCTCGATGTTGTTGTTGTTGATCCAGTCATCTAGCGGAGTATAGATGACGACCACGACTCTTCTAGACAGTCCAGTGGAACACTAGCAGGCTCGCAACCTGTAGGTGTTGTGAACGATGTGTTCACCGGTGTACTCCATCCCCCACATGGTTGCCTATTAGGACATTTATTGCTGAGGAATCCCCTTAGCAGTAGTGTTCGTCCCGATGATGATCCTTAGGCTAGGTCCCTTATGATAGGTGTTTAGGGACGTAAAGTGAGGATAACGGGAACGGGTAATCGGGTTATTGTTGATTGATGAAATTAATAAACTTATTTATTGTGGGTTGAAAACCCTATGTGCTCACCAGGCTCCCAAGCCTGACCCACTCAGTTTTATGCATTACAGGTAGTGGCGCATGAGCATAGGTGTGATGTTTTGGACGACGGATTACGGATATAGGCCTGTAGATATGAAATAATGTAGTAAGGCTTATATTGTACTGTTTATACTTTTGATCTGTACGAACATGACATCCCGAGTCTTTTAATGAAATACATTTCTATGGAAATGCTTTTGATAAATCTTTATCATATTATTGTTTTGGGACAAATTCCGCAACCCTTTTATTAAAAGATAACTCTGATTTTGAAATAAAGTATAAACAAAACCGGTCTTTTCTGGCCGTGATTTTGGGGATGTCACAAATACCCCCGCAATAAATCTTTCCCGATCGGGATGTGCTCAGGCGAATGACTTTGTGGCACAAAAATTAACCATAATGAGGAACGAGGTTGTCCTCGGGATGAGCCATTGCATAAAGGATTTTGAGCTCCAGTGCATTGATGGTGCTTTGCTCCTCTCTAGGGGCGACAAGCAAAGAAATGATTCTATGGGCCACCTTCATCACGGGATGGATAAGTGATGAGGCTTTAGCATCGCTAGAGACGTATGGGTGTAACTAGGTGAGTTGGGTCTATCCTGTCATATCAAAGTATCCTCTAATTGGGTCAGTAGGGCCAAATGTGTTTTCGGTTGGGGCCCCAACAATGGCATTAATTTGATTTAAGGAAATCTCATAATCTTGATTCATGAGATGGAAGTAGAGGATCCCATGGTCCAAATAAACTGAGGATAGAAACTCGGTTGTTGGGACTTTGTAACTCAGTTCGTGGACCCTCAATAACCCGTGCCACCCTATGTTGTGAAACAGGGTTTGGACTTGTTTATAAATGTGCAACTCTTTAAGGGATGGCACATGCGCAAACTTTTGGGTGACATGACCCCACTGAAGGAATGACTCAAATTTGCCCTCTTGAATTGGGCCAAGACACACGACACCACCATGAGCCGGATTTGGTTGTGGTGATGGGGACCTAGATGGAGGTAATGGAGTCCTAGGTGGAGGTGATGGGGATGGGGACCTAGGTCTATGACAGTGGGCGAATGATTTGGTGCGTCTAAGCCTTTTAGAAGGTTCACCTTCCATAGTTCATTTGGGACAAATTAAAAGTCAACCGGTCAATAAGTCAAAAAGTCAACTGTTGACAGGTCCAGTCAACACGAATTCAACCACCAAAATTTTGCGAGAAATTTGGTTTTGAATGATTTCCTATTGAGAATCAAGTCCAATATGACCACAATTTCAAGCAATTTGACACAAGAACACAAATCTCACAAGTGTAGAATTGGAAAGAATTTACCGAATCGTGCGTGGGATTGTGTTGTTCTTAATGGGAAAGACCTTCTTCAACTTCCCTAAGCTTTCCCTTTTGAAGATTACACAAAAACACAAAAATCATATGAGATTTTTGGACCTAGGGTTTATCAAAACCCCCCAAATCCACCATTAGAATGCAAGAAAATGATGTTTAGGATAAAGAAGATGAAGTGTAGATGATAAAAATCAAACCTTTTTGGAGATTCAAGCCAAAATCTTGTAGAAATTGAAAGGTTTTTGTAACATTCGGGTTTCCATGTATTATATTTTATCATTAATTTTGGAGTTAAGAGATGGACTCGACGAGTTGACGCCTAGGCTCGTCGAGTAGGATCGCGTATTGTTGACTGATAAATGAGGGGACTCGACGAGTCGGTAAGGGTGGACTCAATGAATCTGTGCTGACGAATGAAACCCTAAATCCCCGAGCATGAGCCCTATTTAAAGGACTTTATAGTATCCATTTGCAGCTACCAGTCCAAAGAGAGGTACCCTAGCGATTTTGAGCGAGTTGTGAGAGAGTTTGAGCTTCTTTGTTCATTTTTGGTGTGATTTAGCCAAAAAGGAAGGGTTTCCAGCAAGAAGGGGCAAGAGGACTTCATCTCAGGAGGTTTTCAGCTTGGATCTTCATTTTGAGGTAGCTATTCGACCTTATTCCTCTGTTTTTGCTTAAGAGCATTGAATTTAGGGTTTTCTATATCTTTTATGGCTTGTGTGGTTGAGATTTAGTGTCCCATTGAGTAATAAACTCTGGATTCGGACCTTTTGAGGTCCAAGGAGCTTGAAATCACCTTGCTTTTTGTGGTTCTATGGAGGAAAGGGACATAGGTTGCCATGTTAGAAGGGATTTCACCAAAATAAGACTAGAGTGCCTTTCATGTGTACCAAGATTCGACCTTTACATGGTTATTGGCTATGGGGAAGCCAGATATATAGATTATGGAAGCAGATCTAACCTCAGAAGGTCATTTGAGTGTTGTCATGGGAGCAACTCGCCGAGTTCATAAGTGGACTCAACGAGTCGAGTCGGGGTTGCCCCGCGATTCGTTGCTGAGTAACCCGACGAGTGGATAGGGGACTCATCGTGCCAAGTGGGGATTGGAAGGATCCATCGGACTAGTGCCGGACTCGCCGAGTCGCCTGTGTGCACTCGACGAGTCTGCTCAAAGTTTGACCGTTGACTTCATTGACTTTTAGGGTTTAGTCAATGTTTGGACTTATGAGCCATTAGAGGGGTAGAATGGCCTTTTACCCTTCTTAGAGGACTTAGAGAGAGGGGTTATCCTAGCCTTTAGAAGTTGTATTAATTAGAGTAATTATTATGTGATTAGGCGGAGGCTAGTACAGGGTTTCAGAGTTCAAAGGTTTACCGAGTTATCCAAGGTGAGTCTTCTCACTATACTTTACCTGGAGTGGTAATTAGAACTATGTGATTAAGTATCTTGCATGCTATTTGTGTGATGTGTTGCACAACATTATTCCTATGTGATTTATGTTGTGTGTATATCAGAGTTTACAAAGTTAGGACCGGAAGGTCCATAGAGTTAGGACCAGAGGGTCTACAGAGTTAGAGCCAGAGTGTTCATAGAATTATAGCCTCGAGTGGCTATTATGTGTTAATGTGGTATTTTGGGGAACTCACTAAGCATTTATGCTTACAGTGGTTTGTGTTATGTGTTTCAGGTACCAGTGAGGATCACGGGAAGGCGCTAACATGATCAGTACACACTCTTGGAGTTTTTATTGTGACAACCCAAGTAATTCCGTTACATTACCCCGTTACCGTTAACGGAATTTTCCACTGTATAAAAGTTCTGTTAATTAGAGGTCGCCAATTAAATAAATATTTCAATTATATATGTCGTTAATTCGTGATAAAATGAAATAAAAACACATAACACACATAGTCCATTATTCGGAAAAAGTTAGTCTTTATTATCACGACCACTAAATCGGGTGCGACCAAAAGCCCCGTTAAACGACAGTATCGGGTAGAATATCACTGAGCTCCAACTCCCACCCATATATAAAGGGGAGTAAACCCCATTTGGAGACTTTTTACCCTCTCTCTCTATACTCTCTCTCTCTCTAGACTCGGTTTTTTACCAGAATCCGCAACCAAACGCTTCCAAACCGTAAGACTATCAACCCTAACTTGTTCTACGCGTACATTATTGACTTTTTAGCCTAAAAATCACAAGATTGAGACATGAAAAAAGGAGTTTACGGCCTAAGTGCCTCCTTAGGCCGTAAGCCCCCAAATGGTTGCCAAAATGACTCAAAATGTCCCTAAAAGCTTAGAAACTAAATGGGGATTTAGCTTAGGAGTGTTTAAACATCAAAACACAAGATTCTAGGGCATAAAAGAGAGTTTACGGCCCAAGCACAAGCTTAGGCCGTAAACACTTCTAAACCTTGTCTAAATGTCCCAAAAACACTCCCAAACCACCCTTAGGCTTCATACATAATTTAGGGACTTAGTATTTTGGGTTTAGACCATTTAAACACAATGAAAGGAAGGGGAAAAAGGAGTTTACGGACCAAGTATGTACCAAGGCCGTAAACACCCCTAAATGTGCCAAAAATGTGGTTTTTGCCACCCAAATGGCCTTAGACTATTTCTATAAAATGCTACGAATGATTTAAGGGCTTAAACTCCAAGAGTGGTGGGTGTATGAGAGTTCACGGCCAAGCCATAGATCTTACGGCCGTAAACTCTCAAAGATTGGTCATTTGGACCATAAACTCTAAAGGAGCGCCCTCTTGGAACCCCAAACACCCCTATAGCCTTGAATAATTACTAGAAGGGATATAAGGGCTTGAAACTTCACAAAACTCAGAGAATAAGAGTTTACGGCCGTAAACTCCCTTAGGAGTTGTCCCTAGGCCGTAAACTCCATTATAATGCCCTTAAAGACCCTAAACCCACTCATGCCTTTTAGAATTGGACCTAGAAAAAACCCACTATCAAGATTGAAGCCTTAAAACACACTAAAACCCCTCACATGAGTTTACGGCCGTAAACTCATGGTGAGTAGTCCCTGGGCCGTAAACATGGTGTTGAGGGTTTACTCTCGGAGAGTAAACTCCATTCCTAAGCCATACACACCCTTAAATGTTACCCGGGACACCCCAAACACTTAACCAAAGTGTTTTCCGCTCCTTTGAGTGCGTATACTTGTTTAATTAGTATTAAATATACTAATTGTATGTGAACATATGTTATCATATGTTAAATAGGTCACTAAGTGTGTCCAAGTCCCTACTTGACACCGGACACCCAACCGGCACCTTCGTCGGATCCACTAACACCAGGTGAGTTCATACCCCTGGATGAACCTTTTAAATGTTTTTACATGTTTTATAGGGGGGAATACAACTTAAACATGCTAGTTATCATATCAATCACATGTGATTGATAACCCGCATGCACGAGATTTTACCACACTGTACACTGTTTTACCGAGTAGGATACTATAATGGTTTTCAGAAAGGTTTTCAATTGTTTCAAAACTCTTACTTGTACTGTTGTATCTAAAATCATTTCAAACTGGTTTATAACGATTCCAAAGATTTCTACAAGTTTTCAAGCTTATTTTACCAAAGAATACCAAAATGTGATTTTCCTAAGTATAAAGTTTTTCCGAGGTTTTCATCGAAGTTCCCTTTTTCAACATATATTTGTACTTGTTTATTACTGCTGCTCCACTTCACTTATTTAAAACTCCTACTTGATAACGCTTTCACTTCTTGATACGCTTATACCTATTATTGTCGCTATTTCGCTTATACGTGTAGTCACTTATACTCTTTAGACGTTTCTACTTCATCAGTTGTGAATTCCACTTCGTGATACACTTATACTTGGTGCACTTATACTTCATGATTCGATTATTCCACACTATTCACTCACACTGTATGATTCAGTTAGTCCACACTATTCACTCACACTGTATGATTCAGTTATTCCACACTATTCACTCACACTGTATGATTCCGTATTTCCACACTATTCGCTCACACTGTACGTTATACATCACGATTCGGTTATTCCACACTCAATCGTAGTTAGATGTATGTCAGTACTTGTATAGGTGCATATAAATAATGATTGAAGGACTTAGGAAGGTTTGTCCGCCCTATTTCCTTTTCTTCGTTGAGATGTGGTCTGGTGGGATCGAATGGCCGTCTGAAAGTCGTTTGATTCATTATTTGTATGTTATGTATACGACCATAGACATATAGGTTTACTCTAGTCAGTTCAGTTAAGAGTCTCTACCTCTAGTTCAACACTTACATTAGAAACACACTACCCACTATTTGGAAGTCTCTACCCACTATTTGGGATGCATCTTCAGGACACGGCCTTCTTCGTCGTCTAGTTGGTAACCAGAGTCTCCTGTAGGGAGAGCGGACATTGTGTGTATAGATCTATACGGGATTGACACTCCCGCACCCTGACTGCTAGCTACAGTCCACGTCCCACCAAGCCAAGGGGTGACAATTGTCATAATTTATAGACGCTTGTAGGGCGTCAGGTACTCTAGTGTCGGTTAGTATGGTTACGAGTATCCCAGGTTGCCTTATAATTAATGGCTTTAAGGTAACGATATTTCACCGACAGTTTACATTGTATGCTGGTAACTCATTTTCAGAGTCACACTGTTTTGAACTTGAAAGATGTATCTTTCATTTGATACTGTCTGCGGTCTGTATTCTCTATTTTGACCTTGCAAGATGTATCTTTCATTGATACTGTCTGCGGTCTG